GGAGCATATTGGGGAAATCAATCAGTCAGCCTCATGCCACACCAATGGGAGAGAAGAGTGGAGGCTGCACATCCAAGGTGGAAATGGAAAATATTCTGCACCGGGTATTAGATGCTAATTGTGGAACTCTGGCTAAATTTTTCGGTGTGAAAAATGGTATTGTAGTAATGTAGGAAGAAAGAAAGAAAACATGCACATTAAAGTATTCACCAGCGAAATATGATCTATAAAAGTATTCTTTAAAATATTTCAGTTTAGGGGTGTGTGGGTGGCTCAGTCTGTTAAATGTTGGCCTTTGGCTCTGGTCATGATCCCAGAGTCCTGGGATCGAGCCCCATGTTCAGCAGGGAGTCTGCTTCTTCCTCTCCCTCTGCCCCTCCCCCATTCATGCTCTTTCTCAAATAAATAAATAAAATAAAAAATAAAAAATTCAGCTTATTAAAAAAGTGGGAGACAGAGACAAAACAAGATTGGCAAAATGGCACCAATTGCTGAAACAGGCTGTACATTAATACTCACTGTTATTGTCTCAGTCTGTGAAATTTTCCATGATAAATATTACATTGAAAATTTTAAAATAAGGTTTCCCAAGCAATGTAGGAAAAATCTGTGCTTCAGTGGAAAACTATGCACTGTGTGGACTCTAGATGACACCCTCTGGATTATTGGATTCTGATTTTATCCGAGCTATGTCACAACTTTATAAATTGTACATAACTGATAGCAGTGACAAGTAACTCTTGTCTAAGAACATGTAAATTCTGTCCTACCTGGTAGAGTTTCAAATGGCCTCCCTCCCTCACTGTGAAAGCAGTTAGTCTTGCCCCTGTTTGCACATTCATTTCAACATTTTTTATTCCGTATGAATGTATGCTGTTTTGATGTCTCCCTTGAACCTGTTACAACATCTCCTTGGTTCCCTGCTCACAAGTTAAATAAAAGTTCTAACACATGTTCACTTTTATGTCTGCTGGAGTCATAATTTTACCTCTTTTTGAAAGTTATCTCTTAGCAGTGTAGTATTCATGTCTTTCTTGTGAAGCTGAAAGTAAAATAAACAAATTGGTATGTTTATGAATGATTGTGTGTTAATGAATAATTAATTGTAAAATAATTTCAGAGTAAATTGTAAGCTAGTTGTACAAATGTTAACAAACTTTTCCTCCATAATTTTGTTTCTCATACCATTAATTCCAAAAACCCCCTTGGAATCTTTGTACCAGAGGCCTAGATGGATTCTCAGTAAACATGAGAGCTCACTGAAGTGAAATATGAGCAGAGCAAGTTTGAAAACACTTCAGAACAAAAACAGTCACATCTCCTGAAAATCTGTTTAAGAAATCCAAAATTTTAATACAGACCCAAGATACATTGTTGAAAGACACAAGCCTGGTCTGCATTATTTAACCACAAATAATCAAGTTTTAGGGCAGGATCTTACCTTCTATGTCTACACGACTTCTCCAATTTATTTTCTTTCTCTTTTTTGCCATCTTTTCTTCAACGGAACTAACTGCAGACACTGTAATTTCTCCACATTTTGTTACAGATATCCACTGCTACCAATTGTCACCTCTTGAATATTTTCCTAAATATTTCTCCTGGTCATCTAGGCTCCATGTTGGTTCCATTTCCACCGAGTTTAATGGCAATCAATCGGTCACTGTGCTTTTTGTGTTTGTCTTATAAACGTTTCACAAATGCAGAAATAACACATTTGAATACCATGCCCACAAATGGCACACCTCCAAAAAAGGATACTACAGCTAGGTCCATGATCTCTTGCTGAACTTTCTGCCCACTCTCAAAAAAGCAGATGCTGATTTCTAAGAATAAGTAGAAAAACGTGTCGAAAAATTTTTGGAGAAGAACATGCTGTATATACGCTCTTAATTCACTTAAAACACTTTAGACTACTAGAGAAGACTGGCTTCCCTTGTATTTCTATTACCCAGAGCTCCGAGTAAAGCTTTGCACGATCCACCCCTTCCTCACCTCTTCCGGGTGTTCCTTCAAACATCCCATTGAGGCGCTATCCCCCTTCATCGCTTTGTTTCCCCATAGCAATGATCACCATCTCTCACGCCATATTTTATCACTTTTTTTAAATCTTGTTTATTGCCTCTCTCCCTCCACAAGAATGAAAAGTCCCTGAAGGCCGCCCGCCCGTGTCCGCCAGTGGCGCCGCGGCCCCGAGGAGCCCTTGAGGGGTCCGGGCTGCGGCCCGCTCGTGTGGGAGCCGTCACTGCTGCTGTCCTCCCGCCCGCCGGTCCGTTCTCCCTCCCGGCCGCCATCATGCTGGCGCTCATCTCCCGCCTGCTGGACTGGTTTCGCTCGCTCTTCTGGAAGGAGGAGATGGAGCTGACGCTGGTGGGGCTGCAGTACTCGGGCAAGACCACCTTCGTCAATGTCATCGCGTCAGGTCAATTCAGTGAAGATATGGTACCCACGGTGGGCTTCAGCATGAGGAAAGTAACTAAAGGTAACGTTACAAGAAAGATTTGGGACATAGGAGGACAACCCCGGTTCCGGAGCATGTGGGAGCGGTACTGCAGAGGAGTCAATGCCATTGTTTACATGATAGATGCTGCCGATCGTGAAAAGATAGAAGCCTCTCGAAATGAACTACATAATCTTCTAGATAAACCACAGTTACAAGGAATTCCAGTGCTCGTACTTGGAAACAAGAGAGATCTTCCTAATGCCTTGGATGAGAAACAGCTAATTGAAGAAATGAACCTGTCTGCTATTCAGGATAGAGAAATTTGCTGCCATTCAATTTCTTGCAAAGAAAAGGATAATATAGATATCACATTCCAGTGGTTTAGTCAACATTCAAAATCTAGAAGAAGCTGAAGCATCTCCTGAGGTCTTCCAGTCCTTCCTGGCTATAATCCTAGAATTATTGTCCGTTCCTCTGAAGTACTTCCCAGAATACGCTCCTTCCTCAACCCAAGAAATTGCCTTTTTCGGAGTTTATTTCTCTTGTGCACTGCTGAAGATGTGTATCCCTAATCCTTCATAAAGAATCAGCTAGAGTTGTCATGATAAAGTCAGCACACACAAAAAAAGCTTCTTATACATGCTTGTCTTAAACAGTGTGTAGAGCTTTTTTTTTTTAAACACACACTTGACCATCTTAAATCAAGAAAATTGCATATTTCTCTTCTAGTCTTTCTGGGCCAGATTTTTATATTGGTTTTCAGTAAATGTCTAGATATTTCCTTATAGAGTCCATTAGCTTAATACTGATACTGACTTGAAACAGCATGAAGTTTCTTGTGCCACACACAGTATTTAGAAAACCCTTAGCCTGACTCATGTGGGATATAAACATAATGTTTATATATCTCACAAATGCATGTGAAATGTGTAATTACACCGTAGGAATTTAAAAAGTGGTCTGCAAAGAGTGAGCAGAGGCACCAGATCAGTGTTGTTATTGGTTCTTTATACTGGTGAGATCGTATATGAATTCTAAAATACTGCTTTCTGAGAATTCTTCATCACCAGATAGCAGCTGGGGATATGGGAGGAACTAAGGCATGCTGTTGTGTATCTGTCCAGATCATTACTTCTCCATTTTTTCTTTTTCTTTTTTTTTTGGAGAGGGTGGGGCTCAACACACTTTTTTAAAGTGTTGGGAATTGAAGATTTTCTCAAAGGCTTTCATGAATTTAGAGCATTCCAGCCAATATAATAAAATGTGTTAAGAATGTCAATAAAAAGGTCCCTGAAGACAGGTGTTTCTGTTTTGTTCACAGGTGTACCCTCTGCACCTTGAACAACGTCTGGAAACAGTAGCAATTCAGTAACTATTCTTTTAATGAAGAAAATGCCAGTCCTTCTCACCACTCTCTCTTAAAGGCAAAGATTTGGCTTTATTTTTTTGTGCAATTCTAGCATTTACCTGGCACATGGTATATATTCAGTAAGAATTAGTCTCATGGATTCCCCTGGGGGACTCAGGTCAATTCTGGGATAGCTGCAATGGATACAGATCAAGAAAAGCCCAATTTAGCACCCGTTCTGGTTTCCACATCGTTTCCCTGATTCATCATTACCTGGGATGACTTAGATGAGGTCATCCATCTTTAGACTGTCCATTGAAAGACTAGACACGGTGGTGCAGAGTAATGGAGGAAGTATATGGTGTTTATGACTTTTTTTGGGCACTTGCTAGACATTCATTTGTATGTGTCACGAACAGGATAAAATGTCAAGAACCGAGAAGACTGCCTGGATTTGGTGCAAGGGGCTGAGAGTATTGAGTTTTTAATGTGGCATTATTTTAGAAACCACTGTGATAATACAGTTTGGGGTGGGAAGTCAGCTTGGAGCTTTAATAAGAGTAAGGAGGAAGCCTTAGTAATGAGTCCGCCACAGTGCCATTAAATGGTTGTCCTAAGGCTCCTTCCAGGTCCAAGATGAAAAAGGAGCAAAGGAAGGAAGGAAGGAAGGAAGGAAGGAAGGAAGGAAGGAAGGAAG